GGTTTTTCTCCGGTACCGGGAACCGAACTCACGACCTTGCGCTTGCCAGGCAGGCGCTTTTGCCGCTGAGCTAAATCCCCAGCCCCAAGGCACAGTCTATGGAAGCACCACCTGACCAAGATTCGCAACATTCCCAGCACCTCACAAACCTTGTGCTAGTTTCTAATCAATCTCCCTACCTTGAGGCAGCCACTGTCCTGAATTCTGTCATCATGAACCTTTTCTAGCTGATTTAAAGCCGAATATAAATGAATTTAAAAAGGATGCACAGCTTTGTGTCTGGCTTTTTATTTCTGGTGCAGTGTAGTGCTTTTGAGAATCATCTATTGATGAATCAAGAACTCATTCTTTTTTATTGTTTAGATATTCCCACTGTCAGAGAATTTCACAATTTGTTTCTTCTCCTATTGATGAACATTTGGTTTGTTTCCAGTCTTCAGCTACTATTTATAGTATATGGATAAAGTATATGGATAAAGCTGCTATGGATATCCATATAGTATATGGATAAAGCTGCTATGAACATTCCATTACAAGTCTTGGTGGACATAAACTTTCATTATTCCCATATAACTGACTATATTTGCTAAGTCAGGTGTAAATTTATCTTCATTAGAAAACTCTTAAGAGGTTTCACAGAGGGATTATACTACTGTACATATCTATTAGCAATATTGATTCCAACATTTTGATTATTGTCGTTAACATTTGCTGTGCCTGATATTTTAAATTTTAGCATTTTTACTATAGGTGCAATGGTATATCATTGTAGTTTTGTATTTCCTAGGGGACTAATGCTTTTTCTTGTTCTTATTGGCCATCCAGATGCCATCTTTTGTGACATATAAGATCAAGCCTGACAACTTAAAAAATTGGTCCTGAATGCTTAATCAAAAATAGTAACAATTACAATAATGTTGGAAATATGGAGAAGGGTAAGCAAAAGAAAGGATGATTTAATAAAAACAAGTTCTTACTTAGCAGACTAGAACAGAAAGTCAGTAGATATGTATAATATTGCAGAACTAATATATAGTATCAAACTTTATTACCAATCACACATTTTTAAAAGTATGACACATACAAATGCTTAAAGAAATAAAGAATAGAAAGATTGCTTTTGGAGTGGGAAATTCCTACTTTATTATGAGCCTTCTGTTATTGCTTTACCTTTGAATTAATTTAAGTACATATGTTACATTGGTTAAAAAGAAGCTTAGAAATAACTTACTGAATCTATAATGACCGAGTCGGGTGTTCTTCCCGTGAAAACGAAATTCAGCTGCTTGGCTGCTCGCACCAGTGCTCCCTCATCTGTTTCAAATGAACAGGTAAAAGCAAATATGACGGAAAAAGTTATCTCCAATACAAGAGAAATGCCAGCAGATCAAACAGTTTCCTGTTTAATTAAATTCTTTACATTCTGGCATCTGTGTTGAAATCCACTTCTTTTACAATTACATGACAATGCCAGAGGAATGCACAATAAGGACGTGAGAAACACCTGGCTCTCAGCATCATGTTTCTGAATATTAAGTCTCACTGTCAGTAATTAATATATTTATCCTTCTAAGGATAATGTAAGTGTATTCCTTAGTCCAGCATGTTTGCTAGAAAACCCTTTTTAGAAAACCTTTCTTGAAATGAATGGCACAGAAGTGTCTTTTTAAGTTTTATCCTTTTTCATTCTAATGCGCTGAAGAAAAACTAACACTTCTATTTGAGGATTCAACTTAAACTGATTAAAGGGAATTGATGCTTTATTACTTATCAGCTCCTTTCATTACTATATTAGAAAATATTTTCATTACTGAGGGTGTGGGATTAAAAATATTCACATAGATTCTATTCTAACCGTATGAGATGTACTATTTCTTTCCCTTCTTAGGAGTTTGGTGCATTTTATAAATCATGGCACTGGGTGAAAATACCAAGAGTTCTCCAAAAGATGTTCTTTTTTCCCCTAATATTTTATAATTATCTGATTAATTTACCTAATTTTATAATGAAAATGTGTGTATAATTAAACCTAAATGTTCATTACTGATAACTGTGTTAATATTTTATAGAATCTTTTTAAATGTATAAAACTTTCCATATCCAGATTAAAAAAAAACAGTTGTCATTTTCAGAAGACAGCAAACTTTGTGCTCTGTAGCCATATATATCACTATTATTAGGTAAGTAGACCTACTTATGTGCAAAACCAATTTATGACTTATTGTTTATTACTAGTTATTTACAAAGGGAAAATTATTATGTGCATATACAAACTATTTTTATTCATATGTATGACTTTTGTTTATTCAAATTCCCACAGAATACATAGTTTACCCAAGTTGACATGTACAAAGTTATATATTTTAACATATATATTATTAATCCTGACAGCCAAGGTTCCTCTAATTAGTAAGAGAAAATGTTTATTTAAAAAACATAATTTGCCTATCTTTTTCAAGTTAATTTTTATCTACACAAGCCAAAGTTTCAGAACAATTTTCCATACCAAAATGCTTCATAACTGCTTCATTTTTACCTGGAGATGCGGCTTGATAAATGATTTTCTCCCCTTCTCGCTCTGGCACTGCTGTGTGGCAGATCGCCATCATTGTAAGAAATTCACAAATGATAGGTGCAGTTGGCTGTGAGAAATAAACACATAAGTCAGCCTTTTTCATTTAAGCATTTTGACACTAATGGCAGTAATATGACTTCCTGTCTGTCTGTTAATAGCACAACTGTCAAACACTGGGGGCATGAGAGTATGATCAACTAAGAGGCCAAGGTACATTTTTTTTCAACTCATTCACTTCCTAAACATTTCTAAGGTCAAACAGGAATAGTATGGTGAAAAAACGATGAATCCTATCCTTGGAGCACAGGAGAGAAATTCTAAAAAGTTCACTTATCTAGTTGTAATTCCTTGTCAAATTTAAATTTCGGGCATTTAATCTTCCTATGGGCTGGGGTGATGAGGACAGGAGATTTCTCTGTCATGCGTTGCCTTCCCTCTCTCCAAATATAATGATCTTTATCTAAGTTGAGTCTCACTAAACAACAAAAAACCGAGTTACTCCTGTGTATTCCCGTGTGGACTATTGGGGGCTAGGAAGACTGAAAAGGAGACTGATCCTTTTGCTAAGTCTTTACAGGTGACAGACAGACATACAAAGTTAAGCATCTTTCTGTCTAGGTTCTGATGAAGGAACATGTCATTCAAATACATAAAAGAAAACATATTTCTATGTTTTGGGGTAAAAAATAAGAATCAAAAACAAAGTGAAGAGATTAGAAAGCTACATCAAAACATTATTTGAAAAAAACTGTGTTCAGTCTAAAAAAAGAGAAAACAGACATGGTCCCTGGCTTGTGAAGCTCAGACTTGTGGAGAGATGGAATACAAGTACCCAAGTATTTACAGTGGGCTAAGAACTCTATAAAGAGACTGTACAAATATGAAAGGAGACTGGGGAGAGCCCGTGATTATTCTCAAGAGCAGGAGGTATTTCTATTCAAGTGGATGAGGGGTTAGCCTCATGAAGAAGTGAGAGAAGGGATTTCCACCAGGCAGGAGGGGCACATATCTGAAAAGGTTCTACAGAGGAAAAGAAGGAAGTGTGAGAAAACTGACGGGCACTGGTCTCAGGAGAAAGAAAGGAAAAGCAGCTTGAAGGGAGGCTGGTGCCTCAGGCATGGGCCAGATGACAAAACTCTGAATGAAGGGAGGAGCCAGAGAGTGGTTTTGAATAGGAGGGGACAGTACTTGATTTCCATTGCATCACTCTGTCCATCCTGTGACAACTGGAGAGGAATGAAATGGAAACAAGTAGACTGGTTATGGCAGTAACCTGGACAGGACTGAACTGAAGCAGACCCTTGGGGTGTGTTCTAGAAGTCAGCACTGATAAGGGCTTGGAGACTAATAGGACATCTGACTGACATAGATTGAGAGGAAGGTATAAAAGGTAAGCCTTGAGTTCGTGGAAAGAGTAACAAGATTGATGATGAGCAATTTACTGATGCTGGTAAAACAATAGGGAAGAAGTAGCTAGCTCCAGGTTTTGTAGGTAGTGATGTACTGTGTTGAAGACTCTCTTAAGGGGGAATAAAAAATTCCCACTCATACAAAGGCACCTATGTGAACAGACTGCTAGGGTCCTACCCCAAGGCAGAGGTGTTAAATCTACTTGGGCTAGAGGGGAAGTGTTTCTGGGTAGTGATCATAAATTCAGCTTTTGATATACTGAGCTTGAGCAATTGTGAGAAAACCTTAAATTCCAAGAGATCTTGTAATTTAATCTGTTGGAATCAGAATAAGTGTCAGTAACTTCATAACTCTGTAAGTTCACAACGGGTGGCAGATGCCAAGTTCCTACTGTGGATTTGGCATTGGTTTCACGATACTGAGCAAGTAACTCTGCTTTCATAATATTTTCAATTGTTTTAGGACTTTAAGTATTAATAAAAGTACTATAAAGATATTAATTCTTTACTACATAGGAAAATACATTTAAAAATTAATAGTGAGTTGTTTCATATAGAATTCTACAATTATATAAAATTAAACATTTTAAAATGATAGAATGATAAATGATAACAAAACTAAACTTTCAACTAATATGAATTCATTTTGGCCATGTAAAAGTGATTTACAAGAGATTCTAATAATTAGCAAAAAGATCATGAAGTAAAAAATATATATATATACACAAGTACATACATAGACACAAAAACACAGAAGACAGTTGAGAGACACTCATTAATTTTCATTCATTAAAGAAAAGAATGGTTTACATCACTTACATGATTATTTTGGAGATTTTCCAGCAATGATGGGTCACTAAATGTTTTTTCATCTCCAAACTGTGAGCTCTGCCTAAAAGGAGAAAAAAAATGAAGCAACCTGGCTCATTTATAAAGCTCATTCATCTATTTGTAACTCACTTTTAAAGTAAATCATTATGCCTGTAAACCTCGAATGATTTAAATACAACATGGCCTGAATTTGTAAATAAGATGCCACGGTTTTCAGGATTTTATCATAAAATATATGGACACACTCTAAAATGTGACAGGCATCTGCAGTGTAATGAAAATATTTTAATTTTACAGTTCATTTTCTTGGAGTCAAATTATATAGCCACATAGCACTTAAAAATTAAGTTTTTAAGGTTCTGTGTATTAAAGAAGTTAATATAAAATATTAATTCTTTTATTTTAGCTACATAAGAAATGTTTACTGTATTTGTAGTGTTATCACTCCATCACTATCATGTGAAATATAAAAATACAACAAACTATATGCCAACATCTATCACTAACAAATATCTGAGCTAATATGTATAAAGATCACATCTGTTCATCATAAAAGTGTATGGAACTTTTGTCTTGTGGCTATCTTTGGATGCAAATATATTATGTACTTCATATGAAAGAAACGAGTCAGTTTATAACCTAGCTATCATTAACTAACGGCCATGCAATTTAAGAGATTCAAAAGAAAAACAAAAAACATTTAAGTGAGAATGTCAAAACAAGAGTGTATACTGTGAAACACAGAGTGAAAATACATATGGAATTTGTGAACACAAGAAGAAAGTTTCAGAATATACTATGGATAAAACAATGTATTCAGCAATACAATTACAACCCAGGAAGATTTTAATCACTATTTTTTCAGGTTAAAAGACGATTAAGAATACCAATGAATGTACTGAATATTAAGACTTCCACATTGTAACGCCAGCAGTTTGAGAAGAAGGGTAAATCAGTGAAGAAGACTGAATTCAAAATAATAGAATACATAGGATATCTTAAATGGAGCTCCCCCAACTAGTGAAGTTAAAATGTTTAGAGTAAAATAAACCTTTATTTACATGTAGTAGTTTAGTCTATTATTTATCAGAATTATTATATATCTTTATTACCATGCTGTAGTTTAGAAATCTCAACATATCTCTGGATGGCAAAATGAACAATTAATATTATCATTGTTATCATTACTTTAGTTTCAAAGATGGAAGGAAAAAGTCTAAGAACTTTTAAATAATTTATTAATGGGCAGATAGAAAAACTGGCATATATTTTCCTTACAAATACTGTGACTTATTAAAACGTTTATTACTTGGGACTTTGTAAAGTTTTCTTCTTCTTAAAATGTATTCATTAAGCTGAAAGTGATGGCAAACTCCCAGCACTCCGGGAGGCCCAGACAAGCGGATCAAAAGTTCACGCCCAGCCTCAGTGATTTAGCAAAGCTCTGTCTCAAGCTAAAAATATTTAAAAAAAGATTGGGACGTAGCCCAGTGTGAAGCCCCTGGGTTCAATCTCCAGTACTGTCCAACCCCCAGTATTCTTTAATGTTTCACAGTTAATACTGTCCAACTTTGTTAAAGAAACTGAAATGTCAAAGAATATTCACAATCACATCTTGCATGAGGAAGTCTTAATTTCTTTCCAAAGAATTCCAGGCTAAAAGCCTTCATAAATCTGAAGATGTGTCTTATTAATCTCAGCAATATTTTTTTTCATTTCATAAATCCCAGTTGTCATAATTGATATAACTTTCAATGTATTTATAATTGGGTAATTTAAGATGTGCAATTGAAATATTTACACAGACATATCCCATTCTGTTTCCAAGTGAAGGTTCGCCGAGGATAATATTAAATAGTAACTCTTCCCCCAGAAAGTGGCCTCCTTCCTAAGATTGTAAAAAACCATGATCAACTCCTTCTCCAATCAGGCATGGAGTTACCACTGTGCTCCAAAATCTTACAAACCAATCACTTCTCATAAAAATAATAAAATTAGAAAGCTCATTATTTAAGAACAAGAACTATTTTAAAAAGTAACAAAAATAGTATATACTATCAGTTGATAAAACTGTATGAATTTGCAAACAGCTGGAAAATAAAGATGCAGGCCAACATCAACATTTGTTAGCTTTTTTTTCCTAGAAAATTTCAAGCGGCATTTTGCTCATAAGGGGACAAAAGCGTTATGGTGTTTTGCAACACTCAGTAAGACAGGGAGTGTTAACAGCTCAGGCGAGGGGGAGAATGAACATCTAGCTCACAAAGTCATAGAATTTTCAGCTTCTTGCAGCTTGATCTAAAAGCTACAGTACATTGTAAGTAATTATTTCCTATTTATACAAAAATGGAGAATCCCTATAGAAATAAAAATTAAGAGAAAATTTAGAAAATATATGTCCTAATCAGTAATATCTATGTTCATATATGATAGCACAGACTATGAATTGTTTAAAATTCAGAATTCAATGTAATAGTAGATCAGTAAAAAGAAAAAAGATGTTGGTGATTATACCTTTCACCTTAAACCAAAATCAACTCCAGATTAATAGTACATTTACAAAAATACTTGAGATATGGAAAAAAACCTCAGGAATGAGAAACCTAGGTTTCATACATAACTTAGAAAAACAATATTGATAAATCCAACTGTGTACCAATAAATACTCTGCATAACAGAAACTACTGGAGGCAAAGAGAAAGTCAAAGTTAATAAACTGGGGAAAAAATTACCACTTATTAAAAAAAGATCAACAATATGTTAGAATAATGGCAAAAGGATGGAAACATGCAACTCATAGAGAAGGACATATAAGTGGCTTCAAATATCCATTCAGTGGGAGCTTGTAATCAGACAAATGACATTTATCAACTTGGAAAGAATAAAGTTTGACAACTCTGTGCTACTGTAATTATAGAAAAACTGTAAAGCATTTATTGTTGGTAACAATTAAATTGGTACATACAATCTCTACAAGGGCAACAGAGTAAAATTAAAATATTTTGATTCAGCAGTTCTAATTCAAGGGAATAACTGTATTAGTAATTTGCCTGGCGTAAAATGCTGTGCATACAAAATTTATTCTTTGTAGCACTTTTTAATAGCAAAAGGTGAGAAATAACCTAAAGGCCCTATCAGGAATGTTGCTTTAAAAATTTGTGCAACACAGGAAAGTCTCGGCAATACATATCAAATGAAGAGCTGGTACAAAACATTATATGCTTCACTCTGTTTCCAAATGTGAGAGAAAAATTAAATTTGTAGAAGAGGTCTCGAAGGTTACACCTGAAATTGGCCACACTGAGTGTCTTCAGAAGTAGAAACGGAGGGGTGTTAGACAGGAAAGGGGGAATTTTTTTTCATTTGACACGCTTTACATTTGTAATCAAAGTGTTAGGGACTTAAAAAATAAATTAAAAATTAGAACAAAATCCATGTCAGTTACCTGAAGCATATACACATCCTACACATAAACTAAATGTTTACATTATACACACGAATTTACACACATGAACACAGACATGAAGACAAAGGCAGTGTGACTATAAACTTTTTTATTTTTATATTTTATAAAATTAACCACTTTAGTGAGTACAAGGGTCTTGTACTTGCACACTTTAGCAAGCAAACAGAACGACAAGCTTCAAAATCTGTAACATTCCAAATGTCCTGCGTGGAGAAAATTGTGTTTAACCATGTCATATAGAGGACACTTGTCTATTTAGGAGCTAGTTGCCTGCATTCTACTATGTAAGGATAAAAACATGTAAGTTTCACTCATGTGTGATTACAGTCACATTCAAAACATCAGAATTTTCTAGTCAAGTTCAGAGCTGACAGAACTTGAGTTTTCATATGTGCCATGTTTTAAATATGCTTAGTGATAACACAATGGAGAATAAGGGGCCAATAAGACCATCTTCTCAGCACTGTAGACACATGAATGTAAGTACAACCTGATAGAGGTAAGGTTTCTAAGAATCACTTTTCTTGGTTTAATGTAGTAATTGAGTATGGGCATAAGAGACAGATTATGAGCACCAATCCACATCTACAGGTCATAGGCATCTGCTTTTGCATCTAGCCTCTGACAAGGTACTGCTGAGCTAGGCCCTGCCATGGCCAGGTGTGCACAGGGACAGGTGTGTGCCCTGCCCCAGAGTAGCCTGAAAGATCTCCTCAGTTGTTTCCAAATTCATCATTAAGTCTACAGTCAACTGTTGGGAGCCACTGGAGCTGGATATTGGTCATATGTGCGAGGGCAGGGCAGAGCCAGAGTGCCTCAAGCAGTCATGCTACCTCAGTATTGAAAAAAGCATCCTGCCTGGACAATTACAGTCGTTAGTCGCTAGGCAACATCACCTCTCCTGATACTAACTTTGCAAGAGTGTAAAATAAACGCTCCTACTGTTGCAGTCCTCTTCCCATCAGGTAAGAGGTAATGCCACCTGACCCAGCTCTTGTCTCTTTTCCGTATTTTCCTCATACCTCCCAATGCTGCTCTCCAGGGTACAATGAGAGACCAACGAGGTTCCCTACAGTCAACAACTTTTTCTAGGAAGTTGTGCTTCAGGGCCACTTATGCTGCGTGCAGCCTGGAAATGGCTGAAGTACAGATAGCACCCTAAACACGCCTCTGGAAAGAAGCCTGAGGTTGACCAATCACTCTGGAGCCCTTTCTTACCCCCAAAGTCTGCTTCATCTAGGGTGGGCCCCCTCTTGCCCATAGCCTGCTCCCATGACCTCATATGTTCCTATCACTGATCTCTCTAGCAGTAACTTTTCTTCTTGTGTCTCAAGAATTATATGCTGGACAGTGAATGGCTTCATGAATGTGCTGAGGTGTGACTGATATCTGGGCAGTTTTGGGGTGAGAACTTGCAGTACTTACAGTCAGGAAATTTCATGCAGATCTCAACAGGAACCCTTGTAGTCTGCTCCCTGTGCCCATTCACACTGTGTTGCTCCCCCTTTGCAAGCCATCATGGTGTGGTCAGTCTCAGCTTTTCAATCCCCCAATTTCCCTTTGGCATTCTTGACAGAGTAAGGCAACCTTGGTTTTTTGTTTTTTGCTTTCTTTGGGGAATTCTCAAAAAGGACAGGCAAAGGCCACAAAGTCCTCTAGAACTGCGCACTTCCAGGCAGCAGGCCCTCTGGCCTGGCCTTTGGCTCTTGAAGAGCGTGCTTCCTCTTTGCCACTTCCCCCTCCAGGTATGTTAGGCTAATCTGAGTACACAGCTCCATGGTTCGAGAGCAGACTTCCTGAATTCCTTATTCAGCTTCTTCAAATGAAAGAAACCAACAGAAGCAATTGAGCAGAGGGATCTGCAGTGACCAGGCAGTGAGAACAGGCCCAGGGGAGGCTCTCAGGCAGGAACGCTGCCATTCATGTCATTCCTCAGCTCTGGACAGGGTACTGGCTGTGCTCACACTCCAACATCTTCAAAGATATGTAATTGTTACCTGGTGATGATTAGGACAGAGGACAGAGGCAGAAACCTAGTTCTGTGAGCACCCATTGTTCACCTTAATAATTTGTTATTGAATTAATGTAATTTTGATCCTGGAATAAATGCATATGTATATATTTTTTCCCCTCTAAATTTCCTATCCGTCTTGGAATCTACTTTGGAGGCCAAGCCTCTGATATGCTCCATGATATGCTTCACAATGGACTTAGTATAAGACAGACGCTGGATGCCAGCCCTTGCTTGGTAGTCACAGCCCCCTGTACCAGGCCGAGTGGGACACTGGCTTCCTGGATGAACTCACAGCACACCACTGAGGGTGGCCTCCAAGTTGGTGTTGAGACTCCTTGATGGCTTGAGGGATAGCTGCCAGGAGAAAGCTCTCCAAGGTGATAAGCACCATGAAGAGTAGCTTGACTCATTCAGCACCGCCTAGGACCTCGGGATATGCCCACTTCTCTAACCTGGAGGACTCACTCTTTGCTGTGGGGTCTCTGCTGGGCTCAGGGTACTGGGAGCCCATAGAACACTGTTTTGCCACAGGGTCTGCATGCCCTGCTTTTCAACCGTACTACTGCTTCCAAATCAAAATTCCATGTTGGAAGATTTAATTTTTAGCACTAAGTTTGTTATTAAGAGACAAGCTGAGACAAGTCTAAGAATATGCATAAATGATTAAATTCAATGATATTTTTGTTAAAGGCTGGTTTTAGCCAAAGTAAAGAGGTCCAGTTCTCTACACGACTCAAAGTATTTCTGAAGATCTGCGATTACAAAACAGGAGTTCCAAATCTATTCTGTGAAGGCTGCATCACTGGGATAAATAAATTATCTGTCAAGTGGACTGCTTTGAAGATCAACGCTCATTTAGGTGTGTTAGATCTCATTATTATATGGTCACATCTGGAAGAATGTTTTAGTGCACCTAGCTTTTGCAGCAGAATACATAAATACCATTTACTCCAACATAATTATACACTGGAATGAAATGAGGAAATAAGTGACTAGAAGATAGAAAACTACTATCCACTGAATTCTGGGATAATATTAAGAACCACAGTGAAGTGACAACATACAGCCACTTTAATCACCTTGGAGAACCAGCCTCATTATCATTTGCTTAAAAAACCATCAGAAAGAATACTATAGAACTATAATAAAGAGTTAAGAAAAACAAGTAATATGTTACTTGGGATTGACTACAAAATAATAGTGGAAGGAAAGGACAGGTGGGCTGAAATCAGCCTTGAGCACATACTTTTCAAGCAAGTAATGGGTACTTTTCTGGGTTTTTGTTTATGCTTAAAATTTGCCACAAAAGCAAGAAAACCTTATGGAAATACATTATTTTGGCAAATAAACATATTTTAATGGCTACACAGATGCTAAAAAGATCTTTTTATTTAATCCCCAAATTATCGATACTGCCAATTTAGAGACGGTAGTGTTTTCAAGGAAAGGAGTTAATCTGTGTGGTTATATGCTTTGCCATGGTTGTTGGCAGCAATGAGAAAACTGTACCACTGTTGGACTAAGTAGTTACTGGGTGGGAAATAACTTTATCTATGTAAACTACATTTATATCCTTATGGTTTAGATCTAAAGTGTCTCCCCAAAGTCTCATGTACTCAGAGGTGGGGCTTTTAGAGGGTAACTGCATCATGAGGACACTACACTCAGCAGTGCTTAATCCACTGATGAGTCCATAGTCCAGTGTGCAGTTACGAGGTGGGTCACTGGCAGGGTGCTTAGGGAGGGTATCTCTTACTCTGGCTCTTCCACTTTCTCTCGGCTTCCTGCCTGCCATAAAAAGCTAGCTTTCCTCTACCATACCCTTTCACTCTGCCATTTCTGCCTCAAAGCCAGCCAACCACGAACTGAAATCTCTGGAACCATGAGCCAAAATAACCCCCTCTTTCTTAAGTTGTGGGTGTCAGGTATTTTGTCCCAGTGATGGGAAGGCTGACTAATATGAATATATTTAGGTGAATACAGCTGTAGCCATCATATTATTTTTATTGTCAATAGAATGTGCTTGAGAGGGTTTGCCTTCAAACTTGTAATAAATATGCTTCAACTTTAAAGTTCTGTGGTGAATACTCATTCAAGTGGGATAGTAAACTATAAACAACTCAGCAGTTTTACATATGGATTTCAGTGAACTTCAAACTGAAAGGTGAAACTGCTAAACAGACAGCTTGGAGTTCACTTTCAGAGTTCTGATTTATGGCCCTCTATATACTCTACACTTGAACACCAGCAGCATGAAAACATGGTCAGATGCCTGGAGCACAGGTTTCAACCTTGATTTCCTGGGAAACATAAAACCATTTGGATGAGGTTGGGCCAATAGAAGATTTATGAATGTACAAAGTTGTGTACGAAGTTCAATGTGTGAACTTTCCTTCAGTGAGTCAGATTTACTTGGTTTGCTTGCTGCTGCTTAAGTACAAAAAAAATTTACTGAAAAAAATTCAAAGTTGAAACATATTCAATGAAATAGTGAATAAAAACAAATTACTTTCAAGTTTCAAGGCTATCTTGTACTCTAAAAGATATTTGTTAAAGTCTGTAAGATATAATGTACAGAGCTTCACTAAATAAGAAGGTAGGAATTCACCAATGATTGTTATATTGCATATTGTTGTCTTCAAATTAGTTGTTCAGATTATCAGATATAAGCATGTAAAATTGGCCAACAAATTTAAGCATTAACTATTCCATGGTTTGATCAATTTTGCAGATTAATTCTTACATCTGGTAAGCTGAGCAACTTCGTTGAAGATAACAATATGTAATATAACATCCACTGTTAATTCCTCTCATCTTGTTTTGAAACCCTGTGTCATTTTTACAGTTTTTGTGTTGTTTTGTGTTATGTTGTTGTTATTTTGTTTTTTTTTATTCTCTTTAAAATAATAAAAAAAGATATAATGTAACCAGCTATGCCATTTTTAAACTCTGGCTCCCGTGTTTGCTGTCTGTACTCTTTCAGGTAAATTCCTTACCAGCTTCTCTGCCTAAATTGTATCAATTTTACAATGGTCATGTCAAAAACGTCATGAGGGTTAAGTGAGGGCCAGCAGAGCGAACACTCAGTGTGGCCCTATTATGTCCCCAAAGCATTATTATGTCCTCTTCAAAGCATTTTAGAAACAGAACTCATTTGATCCTTGAAATTTCCCAAGGATGTCACTACTACTATTAGCCATGTCTCGCAGGTAAGGACGCTCAGGCAGATTAACTTGTTCACGGACACCCTAGATCAGGAATCAAACTTGGGCGATCAGATTCAAGGCCACATCCATGGCCATTCCATATGACTCAGGACATAGTAGAAGCTCAAGAAATATGCATTCTTTCATCTTTAGACATCTATAGGCAATTATTTTATTGATGTGGAATCCAAGTATATAAGAATAAAACTTTATTATAAAGATAGCAAAAGCCTTTGTTAATGTTGCATTTAAAAATTCTTAAAAATAAATTTGGGTATAACATTAAACTGGAATTGTCCACCAATCATAAGATGCTTTGGCACATCTTAAAAATGCTAAAAAGTTAGTTGTGTGCACATGTCAAAATATATGACATCAAAGTGTGAGCTTGTGATGACTTGTTAGTTGTCACATGAATCAAACAGCTGCCTCTGTTAGTAACCCTTGGTATTAGCATGTGTACTGAACATTTTTATCAAATCTCCACTTAAATGAAATAAATTCCAGGTTGAAAAATATTAAATGCTGTTGAACTTCAATGCATATCAGAAATTTGGCTTAATCATACAATACATATACAATCTAATAATAAAAACATAAGTATAAAGCTTCAATATTTGATAATCATCATTAAAGGAACCTGTTTTATCAAATTTTATTTGCCACCAAATGATGAATTACAGAAATAACAAAATAAACTTATGCTATCCTGAATCAAGATGTAAATACACAAGAGTTCTAAATAAAACAAAAAACAAAGGAAAGGTGTGAAATTAAGCCTATAAAATGCTGTGTTTAATAAATCTACAATTAATTATATTGCAGTTTACTGTAGTGCTGAGTGACACATTATCAGAACATTTGTGCCAACTACTTCATTAAAAATATTCACTTTTTAGTCCCTTAAAAGACATTAAAATAATGAAAAATATAAAAGGAAATTTCCACTGGGTTATGCTTCAGCAGCCTTTTTTGCAGAGTCTACACAAACGGGCAGAAGGGGGCACTGCTGAGCTGAAAAACAAGATAGCTTTAGGACTCATAGCTGACATCTTAGGTAGTTCACAGCCCAGGGACTGTAATACTGAAGTTGATCCTTACAGGCCTTATTATAGACAAATAACATAAAACTCTAGCAACTCTAACCTTTAAACAAGTGTTCACAAAGTGTTTATAAAGGTTACTCAATAGAAAATCAGATGTTCAGTTGATTTCAGAACATACCTACTTTATAGCCTTGTCATGCAACCTGGTGAACAATGCTGTTTTCACAAGTAGTGAATGTGTTTAACAAAATGATGAAACATGAACCTTTTAAAGAGACCAATGAGACAGAAAGGCTCACACAGCTTACCATTCATCAGGAGAGCACCCATAATCCTCAGGTTCAGGGACATGGCTTCAGAAAGCGAGAGGAGGGATAGAAAGAAAGGAAAAATAATCACAGAAAGGCTGAGAACATAAAACCATGAGCAAGGGAAGCACTGAAAGATGGATCTCTAAAGTGTTAAGAAAATGAACTTTTAGTTGAGGCTGAAAGAATGGCAGTTAGTACAGTAAGTAGAATATGATGATTTATGGTAACTAAGCAGGATCACAAAGGGGTCCTGTAACTGGAGAGCCAATCTGCCACAAAAAGTTCATTGAATTGATGTGTAGAATTCAAGATTCAGTAAAAACTATTTAAACTTAGTAATTTAAATACAAGTTAGAGTCAATGGAAAAGTAATCGTATCAATTATACAATCATACATAATATAATAACATATTATATAATTAGAACAGCGTTTTAATGAAACAAACTTCTTAATACCTAGGAACAAGCTATCACACTGATAAAATCTGCTAAATACCAAAGAGTTTAGAAAGAACTTTGGCCACCATGCAATGAACCACATTTTAAAAGACTAATACTAAAAACTGTTTACTTAAAACTACAATTGACTCAAACTTTTGTTTTTATCTCAAACAGAAAATGTGCTCAGCAATATTTTAAATTTCATCCATGAGCTCATTTGAACATGGGTATAGTCTGCTTGGTGTATTTCATTTCAATCAATCATGTATTCAGTCCCAAGAGGCCCAAAATATAAGACAGAATAGATTTTATTATGTCCCATTCCTTTCATGATATATTTTTATTTGATATTTTTCCTTTAAATTAAAATTAGACATAGTTAAATTTAAAAAGTGAGTTGAGTATAAATGTAGTGATTATTGTTCTTGACAAACAAAATAAACTTTGTTGAAAACACATACTATTCTCCCACTCCTTAAATGTCCAGGCTACTCTTTTTCATCAACCTGACCATGACATAGACACTCTAGGGTACCTCTTCTGTCCAAAATATTACATTACCTCCAGTGCAGTATCTACTGTATCATTCCAATTACAATGGAAGTGGTTCCTTTAACTCACTAATCCCTCTTGCTAAAGGGCTTTCGTATATGCTTACACACAAGGGCTCACTCACCCAAAGGAGCTGGCCTGCTATGAAACTCTGTGGCAACTGGCTATAGAATGACGTTGAAGACATCAACCCCAAGACTTGGACTGCAGCCCCAGGACCTTGCTAAGGGAGGGCCTGCAGATTCTGGGTCAAGGTTCTGCCAAGCTGCACTGGTCTTATGCTCCAGCTCTTGATCTCATTCATAGCAGATGGGCTGTTTTTTCGTAAGTTATGTATCTCAATAGCTCCAGAGCTCAAGGGTGAGAGTGCTTCTCCCGGAGTCTGGTGTAGCTCTGGCAGAACGGTAAGTGCTATCCAAGGAATGATGAGCAACAGGCAACGTGCACATCTACTCTTGTTTTGTCTGCATGAGTTTCCCTGATCTCTGCTCAGCAGCTCTGGTGTCTTTGAGCTGCTGGCTATTTACCCTTATGTATGCCAGTGTTGTCATCCACCCGGGAAGCTCTTCGTTTAATCTCATTCATTCTGAGATCTCAGCTCAAGTATCAATATCCCAGGAAGCATTCTCTGACCTCCCTGATTAGACCAAACCCCATCAGAGACCAACACACAGCTCCACACTGTTAAGGTTTTATATTTGACTGTATGATTACTTCATTAGCATGTCTTAATCCTCATTTATACTATAAACTTTAGTAGAGGGGAACCATATCAACTTTGCTGGGATATTATACCTCTGTCCCCTAACAAAGGGTCACTTGGGTATACACAGGAGACTGACCAACATTTGTTGAGATATGTGAATAAATAAATGAATGGTTTTTATTAGCACTTACCACCTGTCATAGTGAGTGAAGTTTGTTGGTTGTTTTTTTTTTTTTTTTTTTTTTTCCGGTACCGGGGATTGAACGCATGACCTTGCGCTTGCCTGGCAGGCGCTGTGCTGCTGAGCTAAATCACCAGCCCCCCAGTTTGTTGGCTGTAACAGATCTTGGGGCTAAGGATTATGATTACTGTGAGGCTTCTCATTGCCAATTTTTTTCTCAGAGAAATAGCTGATCCTTTGGCAAAAACATCTCTAAACAAAATACTGATGTGTAAGGCCATTCAGATACTACATTCATACCTAAAGATTACTTATTAGAATCTCACTTGTCTTATCTAATGGAAAACTATAAATGACTTAATGTTCAGTGACTTTTGCACAAAAAAGGGAAAAAAGCATTGTCTAATTTGCTTAATACATTTTGTTTTTGGCCTCAGAGATCTCTACATCGTTGACAAATATGGTGTGTAAGGATAAACACTAGGACCTTTCCAGCATTAGAATCTCAGCCACTGGACATAATAGCTTCTTGGATATTCTTGGTGTTCAAATAACTATGATTAAACTGACATTCTTACAGGGAGCAATTTGCTGAAATTATGTTTTAATAAGTGTTTAACACTAGCATTTCTATTTTATAGTAAGTTAAATTTATAAATATTATAATTAATTTATATTTAACTGTAATTGTTTCATAAAAATGATCTAAAGAAATAATAAGTTTAAACATAGGCATCTCTAACCCAAAGTTGATCTCTATCATATAATCACTGTAACTATATACAAAGTTTTTCCAACTATATATACAAATCTTTTCAACTTGCTGCCCATCATAACTCCAAAAGGGCAAATTCTGAGCATTGGTTAAGTGAAATCAGAGAAAATTTACTAAAATTCTGAAATATTATTTCAGGGGTTATATCTACATTTTCTCCTTACAAAACTATGGTATACACAGCATGGGCCAAAGATTATGCTACCTGGAGACGGCTAAAATGTAACAGAACTCACCTTCGCTTCTATCTAACGTAAACTAGCCTTACCTTCCTTCTTAAACAGACTGAAGAAGGGTCACCTATAAACTTGTGACTCCAAAGTTTGCTGATACTTGAAAGTTTACAGCAATTTCTCCGGTTTTGCCATCTGTGGCTGGTGGGTAAACACCTTGCTTTCTTTTGTTGGGGCCACAAATGCAAGTAGTATTATATTTCTCCCTATTAGACACTATTTCTCCCTACTATGGGCAAATGGGAACATGATTAAGTGCCCAGAGGAAATCCCTACAGAAAGTTGGATACCGTATTTTCTCCCTCCTACCCTGCATCCTTGTACACCGGCTAGACTAAACATGTGGCCAGTCAGGAGTCCCGGTTTTGCCAAAGCCTTCATGTGTCAGTAACTGCACAATGCGGACAACCCAAATGTCCACTGGATGGGTGGGGCAGGTGATGTTTACTATAAACTTAATCAGTGTTAAGGATGCCAAAAGAAAAAGCGTCACTAATACACGATCGCTGGAAGCAGTTTAACGACTCGCTTTACTTAACATGGCTTCTGGTATTTTTGAAAGCATGATACAACATCCAAAGAGGAAATACTTGTTTATACAGTTAAACTGTGCAAACAAGGGAACTTTTGTATTTTAATTCTAAACATGTCAAAAGTTCCTATCTATCTGAGAAGGATCTTAGAGGTCCAATCTCCCACTGCATTGAATTTTAAAGAGTCAGAATATCTGAAAAGAAATTATAAAGTCTAGGGTCACATGATGAATCTGAGACAAAGCTAGAAGTCAAGTCTTAGAACTATACCACATTATTAAGATATATTACTTTCCCAAAAGGAAACTTGTTTCACTGGTACTGTAATCTATAAGAGGACAATATTTTGCTCAAACCCACCCTGTCCTCTCACAGTGGTTAATGATGGTTTCACCACAGATACACAAGGACTCTAGAACTACTGCCTAGGGGTGTCAACAGGAAAATCCTGGTAAAATGCAGAAGAAAGACTAGATCTTGTTTTAGCTTTCTGTTCTGACAGTTTCTTTCCTAATCAATAATTACTAATTTAAAAAACTTATTTAAGTGGATTTTGCACAAAGTAAAAAAGGGTATCAATTATTAAACATCTCATGGTAGAAATAACATCTGTGAATGAATTTGTGTGAAAACCAACACTGGCATAGATCTGACAGCACATGTGTAATATGAGAAAATGTAGAATCACAATAGGCCTCTCCTTCGCTTCTCGGGGGTAGCTATGGGGAGAACCTGGAAGTACAAGATGCCTAAGTGAGGCTGCAATGCTCCTGCTCCGAAGTCACTGGAGAGGGGAAGGAGATGAGCTTCTTTTGTCTGAGGTCTTCAGATCAGAGGAAGGATGCAAGAATAGCACCTAGACCTATAAATATTATCTGCGTTTCTTAACAGCCTTTCTTTAGGGTGTGAAAAAAGCTATTAAATCTTTTTCTAATGTTATTTATATACATAATTTGAACTTATTTTTAGTCATACTCTCTCCTGCCCCCAAAGAACAGGCATATCTGCTTCCATCTATTTCTCTTTGTAGACTATGTCTACAGCAATTAGCATGCACCTTTCCAATTTTTCATGAATTGGTCACATATTTATGATTTTAATCAAAATTCAACAATTGGTATAATTTTTTTTTCCAAGCCCAACATTCTTTTTACATCGACTTACTGTTTGGAGATGAAGTCTGAATGGGGACAGTGGTTAACAAGAAAACCCAAATGTAAGTGCCAATGTTTGCATAATTAGAGGCCTCATTTCTAAACAAGTAGAATTTCAAATGTTTGATAACAGGCCAATGTTAATCAATCAGAAGTAGGTTTCATTCTTCAACCATGTCTTTTTTGGGAAATGTAGACTTTAATGTTTTCACGTTGCTCTACTAAGTATTTCAAAGTGAAGGGTTTTGAATGGCTTAGGTAAACATAACTGGAAATAAATTAAATGGATGCCCAATAAGCACATTCTAAAGAACATCAACAGCCTCATAAAAGCTTTTGTTAATATTTATTATCTTCTGTTTTAAGAGTTTTGCATCCCAACTTCCTTCCCATCATTAGAATTTTAGACTGCTCTATGACCACAAAGAAGAGAGTTAATAAGAGGAAAAATAATCATTCAAAATAATGGTTAGAGAAATGACAATAGTATTTTAGCTTGAAACTTGACCTGACTACATCTGCTTACCACACTCAAGCTGTATACTTAATTTCACAGCAGCACAAAGAGAAATGTTTCTTCTTACTAGGGCCCGATAGAGAACTTTGACAACTCTGAACACTTCTAAGACCCACCTTTTATCATTCCCTTGAAAACACCACCAAACCACAAGCAGGACATAGTGTGTCCTGAAGTAAAAAGAGCTACTTTTTTAGATATAAAGGAAGAAAACTCACCCATAAGCAACTCCTGCTATGGTGCACTTCTTAAACTGCATTACATTGCATGTGAGAGTACCAGTTTTATCAGAAAAAATGTATTTAACCTAAAAAAGATAAATATTTCTCAATGTTGCAAACATTTTAATAGAGGGAGAAAACCTTAAATTATAATTTTTATAAACTTTGCTACATTGTAGGCATACAATAAATATCATTAACTATTTTTTGCACATTCAAGGAACATACTGTTTTTAAAAATATTTTAGCAATAAATTATTTCATATATAAGTACTAAAGACTATCGAGATATTAGAAAAAACTAGTCATAGAGATATATGCCTAGTGTGATTTGAATTCCACTTGAAAGTATCACTACTAAACATTTAGAGAACACAAGGACGTTTATCAGCATTTCGCAGTATAATAAGCAACTGCAGACCTGGAGATAGCTTGTGCAATTAACTTCATCTATCTGGATTAGTAAGAAAAAGTATATTCTGTCCTAAATACTATTGAATAAGAGTTGGAAAATGACAAAAGTGCAAGCATTTGGCTAGCATAGATAAAGGGTTCACAAATATACATATACAGTCATGTGCTCCATAGGGATATTTTAGTAAATGAGGGACTGCATACACGATGATGGTCCTACAAGATTATATTGCCTAGTGATGCTACAGCTGTCAACATGTGTGAATACATCTGTGATGCTCTCACATGACCACATCACTCACCTAACCTCGTACTTCTCCAAACATCTCCCCATTGCTAAATGGATGTATGACTACACATGTGAATGTGCTGTGAAATGTGAAACAAATTTTCATTTAACTCGACTCATACAACTTGAACTTTTCCTTCCTTCCTAGCTAAAAATCTCTGACAATTCTATTACTGTTTATAACTCAAAAACAGCCAATATTTCACATACTTATCAAACAGTATTTTGGGGGAAATGCCTATGCTTGAGTAGAACTTTATCTTAGAAGCAAAATCTGTTTTAAGTAGCATTTGAAAACTTTACTTACTAAAATTGCAAATTATTAGTCATGTACCAACAAATGGTCTTGTACCTACTATTCAAATAATGGAAACTTAGGAGTTGTTACTTCATCTGAAGTTACCACTTAAGACAGGAACTATACCAAAGCTGACTTCTGATTCGACACCTATCAATAAGAGTTCACCTGACCAAGTTCCTCGTTCAGATTCGATGTCCGAGCCATTGCTGCAGTGTCTGTGGGTTCATAGTGCATGTCAAGGTCCTTTAAAAAATAAAAAATGAATCACTAAATATAATGGGTCATAATAAGTGAAATTTTAAAAGAAAAGCAATTAGTGTCTTTATTCTCTAATAAGTTACCAAACGAAGCACTAGTTTCTTGCTATTGCTATACCATTTCATTTCCCTGAAAAGTACTCAGTATAAAATATATTTTATAGTTGGAATAGAATGGCATGATAGTTAGAGCTTACCTCTGAAATCAGGCAATCTAGATTGACTATTAGTCTACTATTCAATAGAATAACAGTAATAATAAAGGTGATCTATTGGAAGGATTAAGATAATAACGTGTTCCCTTGAGTATCTGACACAAGGCAAATGCTTTATGTGAGCTAGAAAACAGCAACTAAATGTTGTCCGGTTTCTACTTTCTATCGAATCAAGATTCTATGTATTCTACTTTCTGGGCCAAGTTTCTTGTACTACATTACTTGAAAGTAAAATAAATGGACTCACAAAAACCAAACCAAAAATGTATACTTTTGTATTTATTTGTATTTGCTTTGCACTCAGTAAACATGAGGACTGACTGTGTCATCCAACAAACTAATATTTTTTTCTAGGAGAATACTGTATCTTGTCAACAATTCATAGCTGTAGTTTCTGATTTCCACATGTCAGATACGAAGGCCAAAATCAAAAATGCAAACTGTCATTTCTTCTATCTGAATTCTGCACCGATCAGTATCCCTTCTGGACAAGCCTATTGAGTTTTATGTGCTGTGTTTTAAGAGAGGCATTAACCAATGGGGCCATGACTAGAGAAGAGCAAAGAGACCAGAATGGAGATTAATGCGGAGACCACATGAAAAGATGATCAACCAAAGGAAGTGGGGGCATTTAGTTAGGGAGAAAAAGGTGACAGAAAAATGTTTATGACAGCTGAGTTCAAATGTTTTATAAGGCTAACATTCAGAAACAAGATTGCACACTTCCTCAAGGATCCCCTGGGCAGAACAGGCATGACAGGGAGATAATTACTAATCTCATTTCCATACAAGAAGAAACTGCTCTGTAAGGGAAGATTAGAAAGCCAGTTGTCCCTCTGCTAGGAATGTTATAAAAATTTCTATATATTAAGAAATTGGTTGAAAAGCATAAGTCTCCTCAGTTTACACAACTGGACGGAAATATTAGTTTTGTAAATCCAAATAAAAAACAATGAATGTTACAAAAATTTCTGTATATTAAGAAGATGGTTGAAAAGCATAAGTCTCTTTGGTTTACACAACTGGAAGCAAGTATTATTTTTGAAAGTCCAAATATAAAATAATGAATGGATCAAGTAGCTATCTGACATTCACAGTGAGGTACCTTATTTCTGTGAATGGAACCCTTCAGTAAGTTTTAATGATATTCACACACATTACACAATTCTTCAGCAACACATCCCCTGCAGGAAGAGAGCTGTGCCTGTAGCTCACTTCAGATTTCTGAATTATAGATTTTATACCAAAGAATGAAGAAACCGATAATTTAGGGGGATCATTTATCCTGAAAAGATAATGAGCAGTTGCAAAAGTTTTATTTTACAATCCTAGTATTGTTCATATTGGAAAAACTTTAAAATGAGTCATGAAGAAACATTAAAAATATAGCCAAAATTTCTCAAGAAAAAAATCAAGCTTTCCAACAGAAGGCCAACAGATTTACTAAATTTACATAAATGCATTAACTTTAACCTCAATAAAAATAAAACTGTAGAATAACAACTTATTTTATTTAAAGAATTATTAAATAAGCTGGGTATTGTGGTGCCCATCTGCAATTCTAGCACTTTGGGAGTCTCAAGCAGGACTGCAAGTTCAAGCCCAGCCTGGGCAATTTAACTACTTAGAATTTGTCTCAAAATAAAAAAAAGGGCTGGGCAGTGGGAAGGCTCTGGGTTCCATCCCCAGTATCATATACCCACAAAAATGAAATAGGTATTCAATGCATTTTCCCAGAATTAAAAAATTTGAGAAAATAATTCAGAAGAAAACTTCACGCACAGCTGAAATTATTTATAGTGTGGAAACAAATAAACTGCAAAGATGAATAAATATTATCGATAATCTGGTTGTTAGCAGTAGCAAACACAGTATTATTCATACAGTACTTCATTGCTTATAAAGTCCTTTACTATGTCAAGAGAATCCTCGACCTGTACAACCTGTACAACCACTATGAGATGTAGGGAAAGCATGTTTCTTCTTCCTCATGGTAGCTGCCATGAAAATAACTGTCAAAAAAGTCAAACGGCTAGGCAAAGTTCCCATGTTTAGGAAATTATAATACCAGAACTACAATCCAGGTATCTTTATTCCAAACTCATGGTCTCCCTCTCCTATATATCCCCAAACAGGTTTTCTGAACAAATGACTCACTTTTCTCAAGATGTCTGTTTATAAACACAGAGTCTGAGAAGTGAGACTTTGTTAAAATTTTACGGGCTCAAAAATAACACCTCGTAGTAAACAGAAGGTAGGTGCAATGAAGACTTTTTTTTTCCCTCTGAGAGATCAGAAGTCTTGGTGATAAGGGAAAAGAGTATATACACACTGTACTTAAGGAGGTGACAATGATAATATACTTCATACTTACCCAATTTATGAAGTACGCCTGGGTAAATTTCACCACTTCTAATGTAACCAACAAGCTGATAGGAATGAGATTGTTGAAAAGTATGATGAAAGTCAAGAAATTCAGCCCAAAATTATTAGCGCCACCATCTGTTGGGGGGAAGTGGGAACAATAGCATTCTCAGTTCTATATTTATATTGAAAAAACTTAGCATAACAAGAAGTTTCCATGTTTTACAGTGTATTTAGATAATCTTGGAGGAACTGATGACATATTCAAATTCTCAAATATATCCTTTGAGATGGAATGGCATCATAATTGGCCTTCCATGTATAATAAGCATTCTGTATCTGTGGAATCAACCAACTACAAGTTGAAAATATCCACAGGAAGAAACTGAACCTGTACACACATTTTTCATGTTGTTATTCCTTGAATGATACAGTATAACAACTATTTATACAGCATATACATTGTATTAGGTATTGTTAAGTAATCCAGAGATGATTTAAAGTACAGTATATAGGAGAAGGTGAATAGGTTGTATGCATATCCTATGTCATTTTATATACGGGACTAGAGCATCTGTGGATTTTGGTACCCTGCTGGAGTCCTGGAGCCAATCACCCATAGATCCAAGGGACAGCTATACGCTCTGTTCATTATGTTGCTAATCCTGTTAAGAGCTACACAATAGTACTAAAAAGTGAAGGAACTACCAAGTTCCTGTTCCAAGGTTTTAGAAATCCTAATATTTATAATATTAGGACCGAAGGTTCCAGTAAAGGGTTTATAAATGTAAGACTTCAATAGGATAGAATTACTTTTATAAGAATTTTTAAAAGAACTGTATTTCCAATTTAAAGAATGCTTTAAAAGCAAACAAAACAGTAGCAGCACACTGCACTGAATATTATTCATCTGTAGGCAAATTATTCTAGGAAAATTATACTCTTCCTTCTCAATAAGGAAAATAAAACAAGCATATCAGATACATTGTAAAGAACATAAAGAAACAAATTGATGGTGGGTAATAACCTTTTTATGTTGAAATAATAAACCAGTGACTATGAAAACAATTTAGAATAGCTCCGAAGTTAAATATATGTAATAAAAGCAGTTTTATTTTTTTAAGAAATAAAAGAAGGAAAACATATTAATAGACATCCATTTACAAAATAGCATAAGAACAATACAAACAAAACAGAGTTACAGACAAAGTTGTAGGAAATTAACAGTGGTTGTTGTATTACTTATTGATATCTTCAAAGTGGTTTCTCAAGAAAACAAACAGAGACATACAAGATTGATCAAACAAGTAATCATTAACTGTTCCTTTCTGTAGAGCAGTAGAAGACAGTAGTACAACTATGTTAGCTACCCTGTATATACATACTTACATAATTTCCCCTTCTTTCCCTTCTCTTTTCCCACACCCCAGTTGCCCTTTACTTTTGAGCATTTTCCTTTTGTTTCACAATGTCTATCATACCTCCTAGTTTTTATTCACTCTTTCAGGTCTTATACTAGTGAGACAATATGATGCTTACACATGCAGGTCTGATTTATTTCACTTACGAGTATGGTCTCTAGTTGTGACCATTTACCTATAAAAGCCTCGAGTTTATCTTTCTTTAAAAAAAGCAGCTTTAAAATTAGTTTTTGCTATAAGATTTACTAGAATTTGTTTTCGTATTTTTAGCAATGAAGTATTTACTGGTGATATACTCATCAAATGGATATGCACAATCATTCCTCAGACATACACACGGGCAGTACACTAATACCACAGTAGTCAAAGTATACATGCTCGAAGTGTATAGGGCAACTATTTAGTACCACTTTTCTTGGGACAAGAAGAACATTATCTTAGAACTCCTTACATTACTGAGTTTAAGTGAAAGTACACTGAATTCAAGCATTTTAAAAAACTATTTATGTAAACTATTTATGCAAACAGTTATGTAAAATATTTTTGGTAATACAAAGACTGCAATATCTTCCACATATACCCAATCTACTTTCTTTATCACATAGTTACAACTTGTTTTAGAAACATTTTGAAGAAAGGTTTTTATGTGTATCATGTTAGTGACTATATTATATTTACTAAAACTTTCATACTACTATGGAATACTCAGTATGTTGATATGGATTTTTAATGTTACAGATTCTAAAATTTTATGTATTTTTACCAGAAAACTCGCAAAAAAAGACTAAATGTCCAATAATTTTGGCAACAAGATCTTTTTAGAAACACTAGGAAATCCTACAAAATAAATTAAAATCAATTGTGGAACAAATATATTAAAGCAAAAAAAATAGTGCTGTCAGAACTTTATTGTGGTTTATTGAAAGGAACTGTTAGTGTGTAATTGTTTGATCAATCTTGCATGCCTATGTCTGGTTATATTTGCAACCATTTTGAAGATGACATTATGTAATATAACAACCATTGTTAATATCCTATCACCATGTTTTGAAATTTTGTATCATTTTTATTGTTCTCTTTGCTGTTATGTTTATGTATTTGTTATTGATACATTTTTTTCTTTTCTCTTTAAAATAAAAAAATTTATATGTATATACAAGGACAGTTGGGACAGGTGTATTGCTGATATCTCTAGTTTATTGAAAGGAACAGTCAATGCTTAAAATTTTCTTTTTTCTTGAAATTTTGCATGCTTGAATCTGGTAATCAGAATGACTGATCTGAAAGCAACAATATGCAGTATAAGAACCATTGTTGAACTCCTACCATCTTGTATGGTGAAGCTCTGCATCATTTCCAATGGTTTTTTTATTACTTGTTACTGTCTTTCATTGTTTGATCAATCTTACATTCTTACATCTGGTGGACTGAGCAACTTCGTTGAAGATAACAGTATGTAATGTAGCAACCATTGTTAATTCCTATCATTTTGTTTTGAGGTCATGTATCGTTTTGTTGTTTTTGTGTTGTTTTGATTTTGTCTTCATTGTTGTTCTGTTAGCTTTTTAATTTTTAAAATTAAAAAAAAAAAAACTGTATTGCTTACAGTTTAGATTGAGATACCAGTCTTTTCCAGAGTGTCTTCGATTCCAAATGGCTGAGCCCACAGAACAGATAAGAGACATCGCAATTAAGATACAAAATAAAATCAAAATTTGTACATTTGTAATTCGTTCCACATTGGAGAGCTTAAGTGGTGGACTTGTTGAATTCTGTAAAAAGAAACAAGATGATCAGTAAAAAATGTACACAATTTAGTAATGTGTGTTTCAATACAACTTAATACCAAGACACAGGTATACATATGAAAATTGAGCAAAATCTATATGCTAGGGCTTTTGTGTAGATGTCCCCCCAAAGCCTCATGGAGTCCTAGGTGGGGCTATTTCAGAGGTGGCTAGCTCTAGAGTGCGTGACGCTAGGATTGATTCATGGTGCAATGCTAGAATCAAGGGCACTAGGATTAAGGGTGTGAATGCTACCCAGCCTAAGTAGCCTGGACAGATACAAGGGACAGAAAGAGCCGTGGTCGTCCCTTGTTGCTCTGCTACCTTCTACCCCCTTGTTGTTTGATACCTTCTGCCTGCCATGAACTGTTTCTCCACTTTGATGCCCTCGGCAATGGCCCCCGGCCTTGAGGCCAGACAACTGTGGACTGAAACCTCTACAAACTGTGAGTTTCCCCCTTTAACTTTGGGTGCTGGGCATTTTGTCTCAGCAAGGAGAGAAAAGTAACTAAGACAACATGACAGTGCAACAAGGTGTCAACCATTGACCACTTCTTTTTCTCAAGGCCACTGTACTACCTTATTGTCTTTCTCTGAAGTCAATAAGAAAGAACAGAGGGCAATGACATTCCTTTTATAGACATTGCAGGAGGAATATGAACTTGGCTATTTAGGCAAAACAGGTTGTCTCGAAGGACCGAGTTAGTGTCTCTGCTCAGAAAAGGCACAGAGGGGAGGCCTGTGCACTCACAACCAAACACCTGGAAATTTAAGTGTGAAGGTAATTTTTGAAGGATCTTGGAATTTTGAATTTCTGGTGGAATCTAGCAATTATTTTATTGAACACAGAAGCAATTCAAGTAGTCCTACTATAAATAATAACAAAGGAAAGCTTTCAAGTTTATATCTGATGGTTCAAATATTTATGTTATCTATAGGACAGAAAGTTAAATTTGTTATAATCAATGTAAAGTGAAGATTTATGGAATTTACTGAGTGGCTAGGGGTAGAAGCATTAATAACAGTCACACCTGTCTGCTGAAAGTATCTTCAGAACTGTTTAAGGCATTTGCCTTAGAGCAGATTTTCAATTCACATTTAAAAGTCACTTTTCTACACCCACTGACCTACTGAACACAGATGTGACCATAATTTAGAGACACACCTGAAGGCAGGTGTGAACGTTAGTACTAGGGTGCATGTTGACCACAAAAATTTCTTTAAACTTACAGAAAAAAAGAAATTTAACCCCTGGATAACTGCATTAAAATACAACTGTAAAACAAACATTTTAAACGCCGAGCACCACTGTTACATAGATGGCTTGAAATAATCAACAAGTTAGAAAGTGCTGCCAATGGGCCACACATAAAACCACTGAGAATTCACTCATTGGTGGTAATCTTGGGTGAAAAACCCCAGTGTTCCTGTGTGCAGTGAGCCCTTCTCACAGAGGTGGAATTTCAAGGTTCCTCTCATTAGAGTACCGGATTTTGGATGCCTGGGGTAGGGCTCAGGAATCTGTGACAGACGGTCTGCTCAGGTTGGGGTCACTGCACTGAGAGCCAAAAGGACGCTGGCCCAACAGGTTTCATGGATACAAACCCTACCTGCATTAGCTTGGTGTCATGTCCAGTGTAGACAACTATTCCGTGCACCCACTGAGTATTTCTCAACTGAGCACCTCGAAGAAGAATCTGATCTGCTCCCAGGGGAACAGTGCTAGGACAGATTATGGTGACATTAGAAATGACATTTCCAAAATGCTTACATTGCACAGCCCAGCCACTGTACCATCCTGAAATGTTCCATTATTAACATAACCCTTTTCACATTTATTTTCTTTTGGAAAGGAAGTAATTTTCCCACCAAAAGGAACAGTTTTCTTTTACAGGATCAACTATTAGGAAGTATTTAAGCTGCTCCTCTTAGCACCAAATCATTAGCCACATCCTGTAATTTCCTGTCTCCTGCGGACTGAGCTGTGTCCCCCTAACATTCATGTGAATGTGATGGTATTTGGAGATGGCACCTTTGGGAGGTAATAATTTAAATCATAATTTTTTTCATGAAGAAGGCTCAAGCTGGGTTTCCTGCAGGACCTCTATTGGGTGATTCAAACTCATTCAGGGAGATCCAAAGAGCACAACACTCTGACGGATACACTGGGTTCCTTGATGGAAATGTAACCACAAAATTTAGTGGACCACGGATTCTATTACCAAGTGTTTGTTTTAAAAACAAAAAGGTAGTTAGGCACGGTAGTGCACATGTGTAATCCCAGCTATTCAGGAGACTGAGGCAGGGAGTTTACCAGTATGAGACCAGCCTGGGTAACTTAGACCCTGTCTCAAAATTTAAAAAAAAAAACAACAAAAAACTAGGGATGTAACTCAGTGGTGTTTAGCATGTGCATGGTCCTACACTCGATCCCGATATGGGACGAGGGGAATATATAAAGAAACTACATTTAGAAAATTTCCTAGGAAAAATAAAAATGATTTCCCAAGAAAAGAGAACACACTCTTCTTTGTCATTGAAGGCCGAGTGAGCCTGGGGTCCAGCAGGCTTCAAAGGCCAGCAGTAGCCTGGGCCCTGGACCTTCTTTCAGGAGCTACAGGAACTCTACTGGCTCAGATGAAATCAACCGACGTGGATGGGAAAGTGCAGCCCCCAGGTGAATTCCTAGGAAACAGTGTATTTCATTTTAGAGAAAGGACAAGGTAATGGAAACTATCATTATACCTAACAGTATGCCTTCGGCTCACATCTGGATAGGAACCTATTTTAGTCCATTTCATGTGACTATAAAAAAAACCCACGTATTTTGTATGAAGAAAAGGTTAATTCTGGCTCACAGTTTTGGAGGCTGAAAAGTCTAAGCTCCCACAGCTGCTGTGTTATGGTGTTGCATAGTGGAAGTGCATGCAAAAGTGACCAGAGCAGCTCATTTGATAATAACTGACAGTAACAAATCTGGTACCACTGGACCTTCCTGGGGGTACGCATTAAACTGATGACCTCCCTACCTCCCACCAGGGTCCACTTCTTTAAGGTTCCACAATCCCTCTCAATACCATTACACTGGGGACCCAGCCTCCAGCACATGACCTTCTGGAGGACAAGCTGTATCTAGAGAACACGTCTTGCATATATCTGAAGGTTTGGAGTGCACTTCTGAGTTGCCAGGGGCCTTGGGACTAAAGCAGGTTTCCACGAAGTTCATGAGAAGTTACTGGACTGTGTTCTAGGGCACATGTGTCTGGTGCTCCTCATCTATCCCATGGGGAATACTATAGCAACTATTGTTTCAGCATTTGTGGCAATGACTGACTGGAAATAGATAAAAACTCTTCAAAATTGAAACCTACTACCATGTGTATGTGTGTCACTGGGGATTGAATTTAGGGCCTTCCCCCTGAGTTACAGTCTCAGCCCTTTTAAATAATTAATTAATTGATTTTTTGATCTAGAGACAAGGTCTTGCCAAGGTGCTGAGTTGCCCAGGCTGGACTCGAACTTGTGATCCTCCTGTCTCAGCTGAGCAGTGTGCTGGGATTACTGGTGTGTGCCACCATGCCTAGCAAAACTTACTACTTCTTAACTACAAAAACTCAAGAAGAGTTATTAGTTTTCCTCACAGTTGGAATTCCGAAGTCTCTGGCATTAGATCATGGGTGTCAACCTTAAGGGAATCAAAGTCTATTCACTCGAAAGGGTCTCCAAGAGCTCTGGTAACGACTGTCAAAGCCAAATGTGTCACAGAGACAAAGGTTTTGAAAATCAATTCCTACCTTTCATATAAAATACAACATATTATATAAATTCTATCTGTATCTCAAATCTTGGCAACATCACACAAAATTTCTCCTTTACAGAACCGATTTGCTTGGCACCAATTTAACAGGGAACTGATAAGAAATGGAAGCCGGCCAGTTTAGGAATGTCAGACTAAAGAAACATTACCTGTGTAAGTGGCAAATCTATCACTAGTCTATAACCATATGTTCAGGGAAAGATCACAACAACTACTTTAAAGAATACAGGACAGCTTTTGGGGGGGTCTCAGTAAGGACAGCAGTAGAGGAGAATCCTGAAATATCCTTGAAGTTCCAACACTCTACTAAGCCTTGATCTGATCTTGGACTTCGTAGCCTTCACAACTGTGAGCAATAAGATTCTGTTTAGAAATTTCTCAGTCTAAGGCATTTTGATACAGCAGCCTAAACAAACTAAGACACAGGGCAGGAATATTTATCTGCTTTGCTCATTGTTGGCTCCTTAAATATACAACTGGTGTAATCCACCTTGAATAGGAAGGAAAAGGAGAAAGAGGAAGCAGGCCACAACAAAAGATGACTACAGATGGTACCATGGCCTAGAAAACAGCATACACAATTATACTGAGGAGACAAGAAGTTATCTAGTACAAGGAACACTCAGAGGTCCAACCTGAACTCTTGGAGACATCTATGGGTCACAGAAAAGGATTCAGACCATAAAGACTACAGAATTAAACTGATGACAAGTATTTTGGCGGAAGAAAAAGCCACAGATTATTTGCCTACTAAAAAATGTGCCAGAAGCCTGGAGAATCCTTGGAAACATGCAATTACTATGTTGGCAGAAACCCTGGGAAAATCTTCAGTTATAACCCACAAATAAGGTTAAGATCTAGCAGTTTTACAGAAGAAACTCCGGTTGGAATGTACACATGGCTTACAAAAGGGGTTTTGTATACTCAAATGTAGAGGGACATAACCTGTACCCAGACTTGGAAGACATGCAGTAACACAGGACAACCGTGGAGCACGTGACTTTACATACCCATGTCCATCGAGCCTTATATTTCCAACAAAATCATAGAGGTGCCTGTTAGGACTTTCACATTCAATTCTGCCAGAAATTCTCATCAAACTGTCAATGTCTTTGATGTCTGAGGTTGCTGGTAAGCCCTGTTCAAAATGTTTAAATAAGCAAAAAGTTTATTAAATAGTGTTTGGGTGGGTCCAGGTCTTCAGATCTAAGGAGTCTCATTACTTTATAAGCAATTCTTTGCCTTTGTACGATACTCTGTCAACTCATAGTATAGGGCTATTTTCCTTTCCAACAAGTTTCTAGCTTTTGTAAAAGTTCTAAAGAAACCGTAAGTAGTCTGCAAAGATATTTTGAAGTAAACACCCAAGAATGAGTCACTTTCAAAATCAAAATGTTTACTACTACATATTTCCATCTGTCTGCTAAATCTAAAAAAGGGGATGAAACACAGAGTTTGAGTTCCAAGACTGTTTTTCTTCTCTTTTTCTTTCCTTTCCTCTTTTTTCCTACTGAGAAGAAAAACTCCCCAACAGTTCTTCCCTCTGTCCACGTAGAAGAGGACGGCATGGAGCACAGCTGTCCCTCCAGGTCGAAGTGCAGGGCCTCTGCACTGATCTAGTTCACCACACACTGGCCCTCTCACTCTCCCAGCCTTCTCATCACTCACCTGGAACCTAAGGGCATGTATTTGTTTAAACCTCTCTTCAAACTTTATAAATAAAATCTTTCCAGGTTTTCCTCTGCTAAGGATAGGATAAGTTAATTATCGTTTTTGTGTTATTCTGTACAGGTATGTGTGTTTGTTAGTATGTTTTTGTTCTTTTATCTTTAAAATAAAAAAAAATCTAAATGAGGATCTCAAGATAAGGAAGAGTTTGAGAATCGCAAGGGAAAATACAGAATTCAATGTGTAAAACCAAATAATAATTTGAGACAGGTGAATAAGAAAACAATTTAACACACGTCAAAACTATTTTAACATTATCCAAACATTGACTGTTAATGAAGCAATTTAAAATACTACAAATAATTTTTATATGATGGTCCATATTTAATCAGGCAAGCATAGGTGGGTGCCCCATAGTACTTAACAATAGCAGTGTATGAAATCTCTTCATGGTGGGTCCATGAGAAAATATTTGCAAGTGAAGGAATTGCTTCACCTCAGGACATTAACATTAAGAAAAAAAGCTCTTGATTCCATGTAATAAAACAAGAATGATCATATGAATCTCCATTATAACTTACCTGTCTAATTTTCAAGTTTGTTTCACCATCTAAGTTGGATGTTTCAATGTAACACATGGCCTGGGGCTCACTGTGGTTTAGAATTGAGAAACACAAGTATTTAGTGGAGGAAGGAAAGCAAGAATAATAACTTATTTAAATAAATTCACTAAAGTCTTTTGCTCTAGACCAGTGGTGGAGAACCTTTTAGAGCCTTGAGTGATATAAGCAGCCCACTGTGTCATGCGTGTCATGGGTTTGCCATCACTGTTCTAGACAAAGCTATTGTCACTTGCTTCTTGATGATTTTCAACAGCCAGATACTGTGAGGCAGAACCCATGCGTGACAACTCATGGATCAGCTTTCTAGCCAGAAGGATTCAAAAGCAATTTCCTGACAACACTCAGCAATGGTCTCAAAGTAATGTAAATGAGTTGATCTGTCACATTATATTTAAACTGTTCATCCATAGAGACACAACACAGGCTGAATCTGAAGTGTAAAGCAGTTTTGTGTCCACATTTATCTTTAGCTCAGAGCTATCAAGTGAGATTTCATGCTCATGGCCCACATGTAAATTGGCTAAGCAAAGTGATTAGAAAATTCCAGATTGCTGCTTCTACAAACTTGCATTTAAGTATCCTTTTAGCTATGACAAATAGAATCATATGGACCATACAACACAAAAACCGCATGGCAGCTTTTAAAGGATGCATGAACATTATTCTATGTTAGAAGTGGATATACACTTTATTGTTCCTTCTGGTTCCTATCCTTCTTATGTTAGTTACCTGAGAGAGTTCTGAGGACAGGAAAAGATAAAACTATAATCAGCCGACTTGGCTATATCGCTCCTTGCCCTGAACCTAGTAGATCCTCCTCACAGGGTCCCATCAGGGTGCTCTAGTGCAACACGGTGTGCAGTGGTACGAGGGGTATATGTTCCCCAGTTATAATACAGGTGCCACACCCTAGACCAGTCTGGCAAACCCTGTACAACTTTTAATGATACAAATATCCCGCTGAGGTACATGTGCCATAGGTTTGCCAACACTTCTCTAGACTGTCACATGTATCTCCTTCCCATGCTGATGTCCAATGCCCAGTAATTACAGACATGTGAGTGAGTGGTTCAACTGTATAACTGGACCTTCTGCTTTGTGGAACTGTATTCTGAAGCTAAACCAATCAATTCATTAGCAACTGGTTACAAAATAAGTCTAATTTATGAACATTGTATAAGTAACTATGAATGTAGGCCTGTGCACATGAGGTTAAAAGGAAGGAAATTTGCAAGTCACAAACAACTGGAATTTTCTAATCAACTTCCAATTTGTACATGTGTAAAACAGACTATTCCAAGTTTCAGAAATGAGAATTTAGCTTAATTTCATGGCCCAAAAATTTCTAAAAATTATTCATATATATGGACAGTAATAAACTATTTCAGATTCACTCAAAAGTAACTTTGCAAGTTCTCCCATTTACTCTAGAGGCTTTCCTTCATTAAGGCTGTTACTTTTCCTAAATGGGGGAGCCTTCCAATATTTATATTTTCACTCTATCAGTTATAAAAAATTATTACAAATTGCAATTTGTAATTTGCTTATGCACAATTTGTGATGGAAGATTTATAAAGTTACAAAACATTTTCTGATAACAAAATGACAAAATGCTAAATGATGACGCTGATTCCATATTCTAGCACTAAAATTTTATTGCTCAATATACTTAAACAGGGCTAGTCTCATGTTAAAATGAGAATAACATTCTAATTCTATTTATTCTTACTTTTTTTTCCCACAAAGCAAGTATTCTAGGACTTTAAATGGCTAAGAAGTTAGGCAGTTTAAGGGACTGACTTCTATTTGAAGTGGGGCACATAAAATATGCATTCATATTCAGAACATTCTTAATCACTTAAGACAGCTGTGACGGAAGCAGTTCTTAACAATGCTGAGAAGAGGCAGCAAGACGTCAGGAATCATGCTAGATCATAAATACTTCAGCAAATTATGATGACATCCCAAACACAAACTACAACCAGAGAGGCAAAGCAGGCTGTTTGATTAGTAAGTGGAAAAATGAGACAAGATGCATATCACAATACAGACACTAGTAGACAGCTGAAGTTTATCACAGTAACGTGCACATTGTCACAAGTTACAAGTGGGATAAAAACTGATCCCAAAAGCATGCGGTACAAAATGTACAACATCCAGCTTTGTGCAGGGGGTCCTCTGTAAACCCTATACAAGCCCAAATTATAGTAATGATCACTGGACGGATTCTACAGAACTTGTAGAAAATTTAAAATGTAAGAATATGAAAATGTAATCAATTTCCAATGACTGGTTCATGAAAAGGTTAACCTTATTCAAAACAATATTGGGGAGTGATCGTGAGTTAAGCCTTAGTGTTGAGGCATGCTGTGAAATATGAATATATATTAATGATGAAGAAGGTATTAAAATCTAACTTTACAGGCATGCCTCTGGGACTCCTGTTGAAACAACAGGGGCTGGATCTGGCCACAGAGGGACAAATATCATCCAATAAGATATTCAGAAAATGCCTTTAAAACATCTGTGAAATGTCTACCAGTAATAAATATTTAAGAAGTTTTGTGTTTTAAAGGAAGAGGCACAGAACGCAACCACATTTGGGTGCTACTGTTCTCTGGTTTAGGGTGAGGACCCGCATACACACATCCTGTGCAGCTCGGTGTGCTAACCTGGAGGACAGACTGATGAGATCTGCTGGGAGATGCTCCCCATTGGTCACTTTCACTATTTCCCCTACTGCCACCTACACGTCCCAGTGTGAAATAATTAAAATGGGAAAAAAATGAATAATAGAGAAAAAAACAAACAAATGGACAAAAGAGACAGAAGGATTGAAATTACTATAGAAAATAATACATGTTAATAAAAATGTCAAATGCCAATTTTTTCAAAACATATTTTGATCAGGTCTGAAGACATAAAATATTTAATATTTAAGGATTACTTATCTGCTTGTAAGCCAATTTCCAACATGAAAACTTTCAAATTTTTAAGTTTACGTACAAGCACTTCTTTTCAAATTAAATAGAAATATTCCTGTAGAGCTACTTTATCTTACAGATTCCTTTTTCTAATTCCTCAACCTCATGTCATCTACTGTATGCTTGCTCCTACCTAAAAAAGCAAAGAAATAATCAATGAAGGTTTTTTAGGTTTCTGAGAAACAAAGTTTTCTATACTACTTCCTTATCTGCACACCCTAATAAAAAACTTTGTTAAAAATGTTCCAATTCTGAGACATTTTCCAGGTAAAACTGTGTAACTATTTTCTTAACTTTAATGCAAATCACATAGATATGAATCTTAGAACATTAGGAGGCATAACTGGAGCTACTGGAGGTATTGAATAATGCAAGTCTATGTGACTGTGGTCCTTTTGGAGTCGGGTGGTGAGCCTTCAAATCCAAATAAAAATTTTCAGAAAGGGTATGAAACACACATATCAAGAGCCTGTTTGTACTTGAATTATCAGTTTGAGTTATGTTACCCTATATTTTCTTATTGTACGTGTATTGGTATATGCTAAAATTTCAGTTTCTTCATTTCAAAATGAAAATCAATGAAGTAATAACTTTCAACCATTTCTGTGCTTCAATTTCACAATTACCTTACAGAAGATGCATTATTAATGATCAATAGCTGACAAAAATGCAAACTCAGCATTATAAAGCTTTTTATTCTTAATGTTAAATGGTACCCACTTGCAGGTGAAAATCACTGTGTACTTATTCTGACAGTGGACATGATGGCATAATGAAGGCAATGAGAAGAATTTCAATCTCGACTTAATCATTAAAGCTAAGTGGTTAAATAGAAGACAAAGTGAAAATTCCTGTCAAATAAGGAATACTATTACCTAATTCTTAAGGTTAACATAGGTTCAAAAGAGTTAAGTAATGCAGAAAACCCTCAAGGAAAATGAACAAAAGCCAGCTGAAAGGTAGTATTCTGTTCCCTGGGTAGAAATGTTAGCCTAGTAGCGCAATATTTATACTATATTGTGAATCTCAGGAAATAACCCAAATCAGATAATCTTTTAAAAAGGAAGGAGGGAGTTAATCACTGTGAATGTTAAGATATACAAAGTATTTTGATCTAACAATATTTACAGTCACCAGGAAATTTTGTAAAGTTTAGAAAACATATCTTGTAAGAAAATTCTCTAACACTGAGGAAATAAAGGTTGACTATTTTTTATCCAAACTTTTGGGACCAGAGGTGTTTCAGATTTTAGAATTTTTCACATTTTGGAAAATGTGCATAGACTTTACTGGTCAGTGTTAAACACTAAAAGCACAGAGCTTGCTGGGGATTTTCTGGGACTTGATAGGGAAAGATGATGCACAGTTTGAAAAATTTTCAAGAATCAAGTATAAAGTCAAGGCAGGACAAACAGTAATCTTCACAGTTTCAACAGACAAAAAGAAATACTGTGACCAGTAGTTCACCATATATGGTTCTATGGTTGTGTGTCTTCAATTAGGAAAATGGCAACACTTTTTTTAAATTGCTGTACGACATCACTGTTATTTTGACCTTCCTTACACAGAAGAAACATTTGGATGGTCCACCATCTAGTACAATGACCAAACTTTCACTTTCTCAAAGTTTATCAACTAAAACAAAACAAAACAAAATGAATTGGGCAATTCTAGGCCTTGTTCATGTAGTCCATCTTCCTCAGTGCAAAAGTCATAAAATTAAGGCCTGAAAATTTAAGCAAAATCACTGAGGTACAATAAGAATCCTGGTCTTCTGACTCATAAACACAGCTCTCTGTAATATCTCATACTAGCCAGGACCTAAGGTGATGGTAATAAGTGCTCCCTTAAACTTGCTCCCTTAGCTCCCAGTAGCAGTGACTTTGTACCAGTGTTGGAAACCTACCCTGGCAAAGTTACAAGCAAATGAAACTAAGAACAGAGAGGCTGATTTGAAAACATCCATATTAGTATCTCTGAAAACAAAAATCAATCTGTACATGGCACAAAAAGATGCCAATCTTAAAATATGGAAATACAACCATCTCTGTTTATTTCAACTGCCTGAAGATATACTATAAATATACAGGTAATTCTAATTTGCTCAATTACATTTCACTAGCTTGTGAATTCAATCACTTTAAGTCAGGACCTGATCAAACAGATTTTGAAAAAAGGACACTGTCCATATTTATATATGGAATTTACAAAGAAAACTGTCCAAGGAAATGATGATAAACAACCTCTAAAATATCAAAAGCATTTCTTATTAATTTATATTAAGACTAGCTTTACAGTTTTAAACCCTAAAACCATCTGCAAATCACATTCTTTAAAGGGTGACTGCGCCATATGTTCTAAATTCTAATTCATGGCTAACTTAAATATGACTACAATAAAAATTATCTGAATTCAACAATGGAAAGAACTTGAGAGAAAGAGCAAAGCACTTATTTTTTTGGTTGAAAGAGGATGGCATTTCAAAAGCTATGAAGATGAAAAGGAAATCACTCATTCATTTTCTTGTACCAGTTCACCATAAGACTCAAGAGACTTTGCAGGGATATATGAAGGCATCATAAAGCAACTTAAGAAGGAGAATTGAAAGATAAAGTGACAGAACCCAGTCCATGGATGAGATAAAAAAATGACAGGAAATCTTAGACATTAAAGAGTGGTAATGGTCCACACACATGGATCTGGACACATTCAAAGAAGAAAAGCTTCTCAACTGTAACTATAACTTTTGAATTATATAGTACCTATTATTTATTCTATATGGCAAACATGAAAGTGGTCCAATCAATTTTTAAATGCTTAATTAAAAATCATTAGAGAGGTTTAAAATTCTTCGTTTATTCCTTATTTCCTTGGAGAAATCACAAGGTCAATGCAGGGTAGAGAAACCGTCCTCTACACTGTTTGAGCGTCAGTAGGCATCTCTACCTTGATGAGAGAAGTACAGTGTCAGCAGGTATATACTCTTTGCCTTTTATTATAACTATATCTCCAACATTTACCTGAAAGAAAACTGGGAATCGGTTAATTATCTGCATGGAAAGATAGTTACAAATATATAACCCATTGTATTAAAACAAAAACTACAGAAAAAATGGTTACTGGCAGATAAGAACTGTGGATCTTCACAAAATGGCATAAAATTATCTAAGAGTGAGGCCAGGAATCAGGGAGTCTTTCCAGAGCCGAGTGCTGCCTCTTCGTTTTATCAGTGTTATACAATTTATCTTCATAAAATCAGTTGATCCCATCCTCCCTCTAGACATCTCAACTTCTTATAGTCTTTCTCTTTGACATAAAAATAAAAAGGAAGATTTCATCAACTGAAATCTTTATGCGACTTAAAGAAGTTTAAACACAACTGGAGAGAATATTAATATAAGTGATCGTTACTTTTCACAGTGACCTTTAAAAGCAATTAGTAGTTGTAATGCATAATTTGAAAGGAAAAAAATAAGTTTGTGATTCTAAGCTATTTGCTCAGGATTGGTAAGGGGAAAAGGTTATACTCCAACCCATATCTGACTTGACTTTTGCATAAGTGAATTTACTGAAACTATCACTATAATTCAAATTAAAAATAGATTAATGTTTAAATTTTACTACCTGTTAGCATTTTTCTGAGCATGACATGGAACTAAAGATGCACTACGGTCAGAAATGGTTAGAAGTTATTGAAGTTTCAGGCCTGTCACAAAGCTTCTGGGAGACAGCTAAGAAACAACCTAGCTTATTAATTAAGGTGACCAAAGTCAGCTTGGTGGCACTCCTCCTATATTGTGAATGTTGCTCTCTCTCTTAGTACACAAAGGAACCTAAAAATGAGTTTCTGCAGCTAGTAGAGAGAAGAAAAGCCTTTTTTGTTCTTCCTACTGCCTACTTTTCCTTGAATTTTAAAAGAACATATTGTTAGGCGAAAGGAGAGAATAAGTATCCTTAGTGGGAATCATAAGAAACTCTGTTCTATTTTACATACTGGAAGGAACAGGAGGGGGAGATGTCTTCCAGTCTTTGACATTTATATGTTACTCAGGTAGCAGAGCTCTAGATGCCTGGATTCAAAAGGACTTATTTTAGCTGAAATCTAAAGTTTGAATTATCTGAAATGGACAAATTGGTTGTTTTTTTTTTTTTTTTTTTTGTCTTTTTGAGACAGGGTCTCGCTATGCAGTTCAGGCTGGCCTTGAGCTCACTTTGTAGCCCAGGCTGGCCTTCACTTCTCAACGATCCTCCTGCCTCAGCCTCCCGAGTGCTGGGATTACAGGCATGTGCCACCATGCCCCGCCTGAAATGGACAAATTGTCAAGGACCTTAGAATCAAACATTCCGTACCTAAAAATGTTCAAATAGGAAAAATTAAAAACTGCAAGTATAAATGTAATCTAGACTGTAAAATAATGTGTAATGATAATGCTCTGATACCACTGACTGACAAAATGATAAAATATAAACTCTTTGTAATCATGGCAGTTAGAATGGTACTCAGGTTAACATTTAATTGTTCTTTCACAACTTAGTGTATGTTAATGTTTCTCCTCCAATTAAACTATATGCTTCGTAAAAGCAGGATATTTGCCCAAACCACAGGGTTGGGAGTTGAGCTGTTCGACTTACAAAAAATCCCTGCCTGATGCCACTGCTTTCCAACCTCTTTATTTATTGTAAGACAAAAGGACTTGTATTTTAAACTGGAGAAAATATTAACAACTCATTGTTGTACACTGTGGTTACCCTAGTGAGTACCAAGAACTCATTCAGTGGTAAAGCATGTGTCACACCACTTTGAGAAAGCAGAACACTTGTTTGTTGCTTTTTGATACAGAGTCTTGGTATGTAGCTCAGGCTGGCCTTGAACTCATAGTGCTCCTCCTGTCTCAGTCTGCTGAGCGCTGACATTACAGGCATGCATCCCCACACCTGGCGAGCAGGACACTTATTTGCATATGTTTTCGATTAATTTCTCAAAGATACCCAAGTACCACTCTGTTCTTTTTGGTTCTGAGCTCCTAAACAGCACTTGCCTTTCCAGCATAAAAGGAATAGACAGAAAAAAAGGCCCAGGTGGCAGGTACAATTCCCTATGATGAATGTTATCATCATGTATATCTAAAATGTACCAATAAAAAATTTTTTAAAAGGCAGAACAAAGGCTTTGACTGTACACCCCAATTGGAGGAGCATCGTGACAAAGCAGTTTCAGCCCCAAAATACCAAAGTGAAGAACACAGAAATACAAGGGCTTTTGGTACACGACCTTGAACTTTCTCGTCATGGATATTAGCAGTGAAGATTAAGAAAAAGGTACTATTATCAAAGTACAAATGACTAAAAATCTAACTATGTCCAATTCTAGGTCCCAGGATATTTATATTTGTGTTAAGGGATTTTTTTGGGGGGATGCGGTATTTAGAATTGAACACAGGGCCTTTGCACTGAGCTACATTCCCAGCCCTCTCATTTTTAAATTTGGTAACAGGGTCTCAGTAAGTCCCTAACTTGTCCAGGCTGGACATGAACTTGCGATCTGCCTGCCTGATCCTCCCTGACTGCTGAGATTACAGGTGTGTGCCACCATGCCTGACAGATTTTTTTTGAGATACAGTCTTAATCCAGTGAAGTGTATTTCATGGTGGGAAGTTCATGTATTAAAGCAACTTTACAGATGACTTTCCTGCATGTATACAACCCACCATGCTTTGCTTCTCAACTAAGCCAGAAGAATGCATTGATTTCAAGATTATTCATCTGAATTCTTTACCTGTGTTGCACCTCAAGAATCTGTAGTCTCAGCTGCATCTCAATGTAAAGAACTAATCTTTGTGGTGAGAGTAATGAAGCCAGCAGCTTAACTTTCAAAAGTGAAGATGCAATTTTTCATATGGAGCTTTTTAATCACAATACTTTCTTTTAAAATTAAATACTTGAAACTTAATATTCTGCAACAGGAAAATACTTCAGGGTAGTAACTGGAGAGATGAACTGTATTACTGTTTGAAGCCTGACGTCTGCCCAGCTGTGAATGACAAGAGATGCTCCTTCTCAGAGGCCTGTTGAAAAGCAACCACAGTGGCCACACATCTGGAATGGCAGAGAGAGAAGTATCCTGAAGCAAAGCCAATTCGCTCTCAGGTTTCTCAGGTTACCTTGGCATGTGGATGGCACTAGGCTTTAGCTTACTGATTTTATTTTTAATTCTACAAAATATCATATAAGCCAAGGAAAAGATGTGCCACAATCATCATGGCTGGTGATCTAGCATTTTGTTCCTCACAAATTAAAAAGAGTTAACAATACTCTGCATATAATTAGCACAATCTTGAAATAATTATTGTGTACTAGGAAAATAAGTTTCAAAAGTTAATTTCAGAGTGAGGTAGCAGACGGTTAGTTGTTGACTGTCTTCCTGAGGAAGCAGTCCACACAAGAAGATAAGAAATTGATGTATTAATTTGTAGTATGTTAACTACACTGACAGCCCTAATAGTGAACACATAATTTCAATATTTCATAAATGATTATATCCTATCTTCTCTCTAAAATGTTTACATCCACAAGTGCCGGAAAAGAGCATCAAAGAGACTTAGTAGGAAAGTGCCTTAGTTTTCTTGTCTTTTATTTTGCTCTACTGAAAACAGAGATGACTATCATAGAAATAAAGAGCAATCAAAGTATTACCATCTTTTTTATTCTTATGTCAAAGAACAAAGAACAGACAGTGATAAATTTTCAACTATTCGGAAGAGATGTCAGTCTCTATTCTAGTTACTTACTTAAAAATCAACAAATTTTTTATTGGGAGGGGATCCTATCCTGCAGGGACATAAGGAACATCATAAGGTAGAATCAAATGCAGGAACTTAAACTGGCTGAGAAATAATAGAGTGCAAATGAACTGACTATGGGTAACACCTCTACTGTTCTGCCATTATACTGTCCTGTGTGATCTTCCAGTGTCCTGAGAATCCCAGGAAACAAAATCTCACTGGTAGACTGGCCTCCAAAAGGCCATTTACCAAGTTACAAAGGCAAGCCACTTGTGGATGGCTAATGGCTAAATCCTCCGGAATTAAGGGATTAATGATGCTTACCTTTAGAAAGTGAAGTCTGAAAAGAACGATCACCTGGACAACATTTGTTAAATTATGACTCAATTCACTAACATGCTAGAGGTTCAGTGAGCAAATGAACCTCTCATGTTATGGAACTGATTTCTGGCTCATTAGAAAATGATGTTTTTAAAAAGGAAATAGTATGAAAAATCATTAGCCTCACTATATGAATTTGAAGTAAAATATGAAAATATAAAATAACTTATTTTTACTTGGACAGTAGATGATAAATGCAAAAATTACAACACAAAACAGCTCATGGTTAAATAAAATCTATGGAAACAGTACTCAAAATATACTATGAAAGAAACAAAAAAGCCCTAGGAATTTCTTTTCAAAGTAGTATCTTTCTAGAGCAGAAACACTGAATATATACGACTGACTGAAAACTCCATGTATGTTTACAACTTTGATTACTAAATCATTCTCATAGCAGTGAAATTCTTGAGATTTGCTTATATTGTATGCAAACATTCCATCTACTAAGTACACCTCAATGTATTTCTTCTCCCGTAACAAATACAAACCAGTGCATACCTTTTCCCAGTGAACAATTTCCCAAGCACCATTTCTCAAAACTGGAAAGAGAGAAGGCAACATTTCATGAACATTTTGTGTTTACCCTTGGAAAGGCTATTTCTGACAAAGTGATCATTTTAAGTGATTAGCTTTGAATAAAGAGACTCAGCAATTTTTTGGGTATAAAAACTAATCATGACAACAAAGATACATAAAATTACACAGTGAAATAAGACTTATGAATTTCAGCTCCTGAAATGACATGTCACCAAAAAAGGGCTGCCTCACTTAAATTACCAAGTGCTTTGTTTAGTGCATTAGAATTACTGGTCTGGGTTGCAGAAGACAGACATAAAATGATGTGAAAAGGGCAGGAAAAAGCTTGCAAACATTTCATATACTACAACAGTAGCACTATTTAAAAAAATCACAAGCAGGGAAGTATTAGTTTAGTAAGATTTGAATACATAATGCTATCATAAAGAATCTGTACCATTAGGTTCACAATAAGGGAAAAAGAGCAAACTTTTCTATTGTTGGTTTACTGAAAAAAGTTGGAAGAAGCTATTATTAAATTATGATAGAAGTTTGATTACTTCATAGTGTTTTCCTCCTGCTTCACAACAGTAAAATGGCTCAGTACGACCTAATCTCTGACATAATATTGAATATATCAACAGATACTGAAAATAAAACAAGGGAGTAAAGTGAAGTAGATGACAAAGCATATGCATTAGTACTGTAATAAAAAAGCAAATCCCCCATCAATAAATTACCCAGATGGCACATTCTATGAGGTCAAAGCCAGTATTTGCTATAATATTACATTCCCAGGAGGCAGCACAGAAATGTAACACAAAGCAGTAAGTAAATGTTTACAAAATAAATGATTTATAGATATAAGTATATTAGATTCAGCTTCTTTTGGTGTTAAGAGAACCAAAGCCTGAGTCCTATGGAAACAGTCACAAAGATAATAATTTGTCAAATATTAAACAGCAAAATCTAACATTAATTACATAACATACTTCAAATCAGTATCACCACATAAATTATTTTAATCAAGTAAAATATTTTGCTTCAAAGTTCTCACATAGGCACTGTGCCTTAGTCACCTCTTCTTTTCTAACATCTTACTGTGCTCCCAGCACATGACACTTAAGTGCTCTTAGGAAAATAAATGAAAGCAAGAGTAAACGTGGTTAAAGTGTACTTTGGTGAATCAACTTCATTACTTTAAAAAGAAAACAATTTAAAGTTGAAGGGCTAAAACTAAACTAAAACTATTGTCAGTAGAGTATCTGTAGTTACATATTAAAATTCCAATGTTTACAGTAGTTAAACATGTTCCAAAATCAATCACCATGTCCCAACACACATAATTCTAAAGCCTGCAGAGTTCAACCAAACTGGTCCAAACTGATTCCAGGAGTAAACCTGCTCCTCGATGTTCAGGGAGTACCAGGAGTTCAAACCACACGATGCAGGCAAAAATGCCCTGGGCTTAGGTGCTGTCTCTACCCGTGCCTAGCAGGGTCCTTCTCAAAATTAGCTGTTATGATGAATAAAGACTAAAGGAGAGCACTCTTCCCTTTAGTCCCACACCCCAGTGACTACCATATGATAACCATGCACAGTTAAAACCAACTACACTTAAGATTAACTGATACAAAAGTTGGGTTAAATATCTGTATTCATTTACATTAAATGAAAAAAATCCACTAATATGTAGAGCTTTTTATTGCCATTTATGTCCTCTGATCCTTTCTCATATTAGCAAACATTCTGCCAATTCTAGTATTTAGTTTTTTCAAAAATCAGTGCCTAGTATTTATAAAATTAAGGGATTTGACATGAAAGTAAGATTTCAGATGATATAAGATGAATATTCTAGGGATCTACTGACAAGTACGACTATATTTAATATATATGATATACTTGAAAATTTCTGAGGGTAGATCTTAAATATTCTCACAAAAACTATGAGATCATAATGCACATACATATAGGAACACATATACCTATCAGATTGGTTTAGTCATTTCACAATGTATAAATATAGTCCTCTGCTGGTATTGGTTCTAGGATCCTGCCCCCGCCACCAAGACCACCAAAATCCTCAGATGCTCAGGTCCTTTATATAAAATAGTGCACTCTTTACATCTGACCCATGTACATCCTCCTGAGCAGTTTAAATCTCTAGATTACTTATAATACCTAATAAAATATCAATGCTATGTAGAGAGCTGTTATGCCATATTATGAAGAGAACAATGACCACATGTTCAGCACAGATGCAATGTTTTTCTTGACTGCTTCCATCCAAGATTAGTTCGATGTGGTCCTTTAGATAAGTGTGTATCAAAACATCATGTTGAATTTCATAAATCTATACATTCATTGTAAAAAATAATGACAGCAATGATTATAGCACATTAGATAACAAAAAAATTATCAGCAAAAATTAGTATTAAGCACTTAGGCTTATGTCTGATGAACACAGATGCAAAAATTCTCAGTAAGATACTGGCAAACAGAATGCAGCAAATCATCAAGAAGATTATACACCATGACCAAGTGGGATTCATCCCAGGGATGCAGGGATGATTCAATAAATCAACAAATGTAATACACTATATTAATAGAGCCAAGAGCAAAAGTCACATGACCATCTAAACAGATGCAGAAAAAGCCTCTGACAAAGTCCGGAACGCATTCATGATAAAAACCCTACAGACAATTGGAATATATAGTCTTCTCTCAATCTGATAAAAGCCATCTATGACAAACCAACGGCCAGCATCACATTCAATGGACAAAAGGCTTTTTCTCTAAAATCAGGAACAAGACCAGGATGTCCAGTGTGTTCACTCATACTCAACATAGTCTTGGAAACTTTAGCCAGAGCAATTAGACAAGAGAAAGGAATAAAAGGAATAAGGATAGGAAAGGAAGAAGCTAAATTATCATTATTTACAGATGACAATATATTCTACATAGAAGACCCCAAAAATTCCAATAAAAAACTTCCAGATTTACTAAGCAAATTCAGTAGCACAGCTGGATATAAAGTCAACACTCAAAAATCAATAGCCTTTCTGTACATGAATAACAAACTCACTGAGAGAGAAATTATGGAAAAAACACCTTTCACAATAGCATCCAAAAAAATGAAATATCTAGGAATCAATCTAACACAAGATATAAGAGAATTCTACACTGAAAACGACAGTACTCTGAAAAAGGAGATTGAAGTGGATATCAGAAAATGGAAAGATATCCCTTTCTCTTGGGTAAGAAGAACAATACAGTGAAAATGGCCATACTTCCAAAACTGTTATGCAGATTTAATGCAATTCCAATCAAAAGTCCAATAGCATATCTCATAGAATTTGAGAAAACAATCCTAAAATTCATTTGGAACCAGAGGAGATCTAGAATAGTAGAGGAAATTCTGGGCAACAAAAGCAAGGCAGGGAGCATCATAATCCCTGACTTGAAATTATACTATAAAGCTACTGTGATAAAAACAGAATGATACTGGCAAAAAAAACCCCCAAATCAGTGGAACCAATTAGAAGATGCAGAAACATCTCCAGACATACTCAGCCACCTCATCGTTGACAAAGGTGCCAAACACATTCACCAGACAAACACATTCAGCCTTTTCAATAAACAGTGCTGGAAAAACTGGTTCTGCACACGCCAAAGATTAAAATTGGACCCATATCTTTCACCATGCACTAAACTAAATTCAAATGGATCAAAGATCTAAATATTAAAACAAACATTAAATCTGGAAGATGGAATAGGTAAAACTCTTAAAGACATTAGTGTAGTCAAAAACTTTATGAATAAAACCCTGATCACAACAGCTATCACAAAGAGTCTACAACTGGGCTCTGACCTTATTAAAAAGCTATTACACATCCAGAGAAACCACCAACAGAGTGAACAGACAACCCCAATGTAGGAAAAAAATGTTTGCGAGCTGTTCCTCAGACAAAGGACTACTATCAAGAATGTACAAAGAACTCAAGAAAATCAGACTGCCCACATTTAAAGACCCAATCCAAAAATGGGCATCTGAGATGAATACACACTTCTCAGGTGAAGAAATACGAACTGCAAATAAATATATGAAAAACTGTCCAACATCACTGGTCATTTGAGAGGTGCAAATTAAAACAACACTGAGATTCCATCTCATCCTGGAAAGAATGGCTATTATCAAGAAATCAACCAATAACAAATGCTGGAGGGGTTCTGGGGAGAAGAAGCCCTTGTCCACTGTTGTTGGGTGTGTAGACTGGTGCAACCACTGTGAAAGTCAGTGTGGAGATTCCTCGAAAAACTAGAATTGGAGAAAGAGAAACCTAGAATTGGATGTCCCATTTGACCCAGCTATTCCCTTTCTGGGTATCTTCCCAGAGAAACTGTAAACATATCATGGTGATATATGTGCACCCATGTTTATAGCAGCACAATTTGTAGTAGCTAGATCTTGGAAACAACCCAAATGCACATCAACCAGGGAACAGATAAAAAAGATGTGGTTTTTTTTAATACAATGGAGTACTACTCAGCCATATCAAGGATAAACTTGAGTCTTTTATAGGAAACATGGATGCAACCTGAGACTATACTCATAAATGGAATAAACTAGACTTGTATGTTTAACTATCATATTCTCTCCTTAGTGTGAGAAGCTGAAAGAGTAAATGAGATCCAAAATGTACAATAGATATTGTAAAATGGGAAGAAACTTCAAAAGGAGAGAGAAACTGGGATGGAGGAATGGAGAAAAGAAGGAAGTGAAAAGAAAAAATAAAATAATTATATATAAAAGATAGTTAAGATAGTTATACTACTAATTTCTCTTAGTTCATTGAAAAGAAAGGTTTGTGCTAATATTGTTTGGACAATTAAATGCCAATATCTTGTATTCTGAGTAACTAATTTAAGGATAACAATAAGCAATATATTAACCATTGTCACCTTCCTATTATCTGTTTGGAAATTTTTGGTTTTTTACTCTTTAAAATTAAAAACAAATAGG